GTTTCCACTGCCTCTTTTCATTGATTTCAATGGGAATCCGACCAAATTCAACCTGGTGGCAAGCATTAAGAATAACTATATAGAAATAGTCAGTCTATTAAATTGAGTTTCATACCAGTTCAAACTTTTTAGTTTAATAATATAGCTTATAGCTTTTAATACTTCTGCATTGTAAACTAAATAAAACATTTTATTCATTAATATAACATGTAATGGAGTATTCGGTGTTACTTTTAAGTTACTAAAGGTCATTCTGCGATAGAAAGCAAACAAGTGTCCTTCTCAAAATGATTAACTAACTTTTTCTGTTTGTTTTTATTGACTTCCTTAGACACCAACCAACGTGCACTGCGTGTCATTTTTCCTCCACACTGTAGAGAATAAAAAGAAAGAGGCACTCAAAGCACTGCATTATAAAAATGGCACATTTATTGCTACAGAACGGTCATGAACATGAACCTCATTGAATCACTACAAGATGAGAACCAACAGGCAACGAACGGCCAACTGTTGGGCTGGTACGAGGAAGAATAAAACCCTCAGCACAGAAATCAAAAAGAACCTGTTCCCCAACACCTCCACTGATCTGGAATAAAAAGTGTAATAATAACAATGTCAACAATAACGGCGACCATAAGGACAATAATAATTCTATAACATAAAAAATAACATAATACAACACTGACCGGAAATAATTCAGAAAATGGAAGTGTAGAAACGAACACGTGCACCAGGAGATACAATGAAATAAAGATTTGAGGCGATCAGCCACACAATAGAGGGGAAAAGTGTAACTGCTGTGTTTTTTTTATATTTTCATCATTCACTTTTGAACATTTCCATAAAATTACTAAGGGAACATTTTATTGTATTTATTCTGTTTTCATACTGTACTTTTGTTCATGGTATAAAAGGATTGCCCCTGCAAAAACACGCCAAATATATTTGAATTTATGATTAATTTAAATTTTGCGTCAGTAATAGGGTGCACTAACTCCATAGCAAAAGAGCACTAGACAAAGGAAGCTTTAACAAAAAGCCCAGGCACTGATTACAGGGTCATTCTGCTTCATGTATTTTTTTCTTTTCCATCTTTTCACGGAATTGTTTAACAAGGAACATGAAGAAAGAAAAAAGGCCACATTTCGTGTATTTTCACTTCCACGTATTGATTATAATACTGAAATATGAAGGATGTCTTTGAAAATGAAAAATAATACTTACAGAGAGAACATGGTGAACATCAGCTCAGTCAACCGTTCATTTGTGCTTGTTGTTCATACTAGAGTCCAGCGTACGGCATGCAGCGGGGATTTACAATGATTGTTTTTTAGTAATTATTATATTATTATTATTCAATGAATTGTTCCCTGATATTACTAATTTGAGTTTAAATTACTATCTTACTTATGGAATTTAGGGCCCTCTATTTTCTAAAAGTATCCTGGTTCCTGACCTCTGGAACGCTGCCCACAGGTTGTTATGTTCACCCTGCAGGCAGGGTTTTTTGCTCATATGTGATCAGATTTTTTTGTTTTTATGACAGTGTAAGCAGTACAAGTCACATAGAGCCTGATCTTTTCAATTCTGATTTGGGCCGCTCTCATATGTGGTCAAAACCAGATCCAGTTCTGAACAGCAATATCAGAAAGGGTCAGTTCAAGGCCCGTGACCTGTTCACACCGGAATCTGATATGGGCCACATAAAAATAAAAAAAAGCATAATCTGAGCAAAAAGTATTGAGTGTTAAGGCTTGCAGTGTGAACATAGCCATTTATATCTACTTTAGCCAGTTGGACAAACGATCCACCAATCAGAACTTTGTAGGCCGCATTATAAATACAGATGTTGTCTTCTTGTAACGACATAAAATGTGCCACAAAAGTGGCGACAAGCATGGATGGATATTTGTAGCTGTGCAGGTTGTTGTTAATGGATTTAAGTGACAACTCTTAAATCCACATATTTCACAATGTTAGGTGTATTAAAATTCAGAAAGTATCAAAGAAAACCATACAGTAGCCAACCATCTTCAGCTAATCTTAAAAGGCCAGTTCACCAAAAACACAAATAAACACTTTCTTATTCCTAGTGGCTTGTCTGAGTTCCAGAAATCAGTATCAACTCCAAATCTGTCTGGCTTACATGTTTAAAAGTATTAAGAATAGCTGTAGAAATAGAAATGTAAAGGAGACATTGTGGTTTTAGCAGCAGTTAGCCTCAGAGCTATTTGTTGACCAACAACCACTGGGTGCGGTAACTTCATCTCAAAAGTTGTGTCCTCATAGTTGAGCTCTGTCCAAACTCTGTTAACAAAACACAGCCGATGCTTGGTTGGATCTGTGACTAGCTTGTTACCTACAGCATGTAAATCAGAAAGCTGTTGTTGAAGGTGTATTTTTTTCTTTTGTTGAAGTTGGACTAGCAGTTCCCCCCTGCTTGCAGTCTTTGTGCTAAGCTAGGCTAAACACATCATGGACCTATCTCCGTAATGGGTGCACAGAGATAAAACTGATATCCATTTTCTAAACTGACTCTGGGTGTGAATGTATGGCAGGAAAAAACAACAAAAAAAACAATTACATTTAATAAAATCTAAAATATCTGTATGGTTTAGGATCCCAAGAGTCTAATCATTTTATCAGAGATTTCAAAAAGTAAGACGTATGTTTTAGTATAAATAATTCATGAATGATTCATGAATATGAAAATGGAAAAATAGTCAATGCCTTAGGTGAAATACTCAGTAATAAGAGAGTTAAAATGTTGGCAGGATTTTTAAACAGTTTTTTTTTTCTGGCAGTGGACATTTGTACAATTTAAATTTTCTGCTATATAGAGGTTAAAGACACGAAAACCTTTAAATTGATTGAAATTTTTTCATTATTTTGTGTGGAAAAAATACAAATTAATTGTAGTATTATATAAATGTACCAAATTTTAGATGTACTGTAATACAATGCGTGGAGTATACCCAAGTGTATTTGTTCATTTAAATGGGGTTAGCTATCATGAGAAAAGAGAGAAATGCTTCCTGCTTCTACGATTGTTGGGAAAAACAAAGGACAGGAGTGGCGATTTTGAATTCAACTCATTATTGCAGTAAAACTGGTACAGAGTAACAGATTACAAAGCTCATGGCACAGTCACTGAAAAATAGAAATGAGGCGTGTATGTACAACAGGGAGGGAAAAGGAAAAAAAAACATTTTGGCTAATAGAAACATCAGGGGTAACATAAAAATGAAGATACTGTAAATCGGGAGATGACTTGATTATACAACAAAGAGAAAATATGAAATGAAGCATCACAAAAATAACATTACTTAAAAAATACATTTAGCACTTACACTGACAGATTCAATCCTAGTGTTTAACCTAGGTCCGATTCAAAGCGGCTTTTCCTTTTGATGAAAAGCTAAATTTTAATGGCAAACACTAAAAACCAATGACTGAAACTGCCTTGCACACGATCTGATATCTTTTTGGGGAAATAGCTGATAAGATTGTTTGCTGACGACCTGCTTTTCAATATTAGCAACACTCCAATCTTTCACAAAATTTTCATATATTAATCTTGAATCAGGTGCTGAGGGTCTTTAATTTAATCAACATTTACAACCCATCTTGAAAGAAATAAATGCACCAGAGTCAGAGCCGGCCTGAAGCCACCAGGGGGAACCAAAGTGAATTGAATTTGTAAACTCAATTTACGCTTTTGTCATAGTTTATGTAAAAACATATTATTGATTTTTATATAACACCCTATAACAATTTAAAAAAAAGGTGTTATCACAACAAATACTCTAACAAATGTTATGTTTTATAACACATTTTTAAAAAAGAAAAATTTGGGATTATCCAAATTAATTTACCTAAGTAATGTACATAACAAAATCAGGAAGGTTTAATTTATGATTTTCTTTTTTTTTACCGGGTTATTTTTTTCTTTGAAAATCAGAATAATTTCATCGCATGGCAGTAAAAAATGGCTCACGCCGGCTCTGACGCAGGTGATTTGTGGTGCAAGCAAAGACAACAATTTGACTTACACTTCAGATGGTCGGCAACCAAAACCACATACAGTACTGAGCACCACTGACCAAAACTAAAATTTGGCACCTGGCTACTAACCGGACAAATACAACCTCACTAAAAATCAAAACAAGTTCATCATCATCGCCTCTCACTGGCAAGTCCTCACCCCACAGAAACCTCACAGAAAATGTTTTATGACTATTTACACATTTCTCTGCAAAAAATACAATTAAAAATGGTAATGTCATGAGGCATGAAGAATTAAACAAATATCATATATCTTTTATGATTTCTGATTCCTCCCACGAACCCTCAAAAATGTTCCCCACAGATAATAAACATAAGGTTGAAAAATAAAAAATAAAATGATTTGGAACTTTTGACCTCACTACATTTTCAATGTGACACATTTTTTCAACACACACTGAATTTTACTTTTTTATCTTTTAACAAAAAAACCGATACAACATATTTCTAAAACACAAAATAACAACAGTCTACATGTAAAAATATAACTTTTACATACACAATTTCAAAATAATGGTAAAGTTTGCCATTTTGTTGCATACAATTTACAAACGTCTGTGTGTTGTTGCCTTGGATAGATAGCAGTGAATGGAGCTGATGGAACTCCGGTCCCATTTTGTCCTGCGCAGGGTGCCGTACTAGTCAGAGGGTGTTGTCATGGCAACAACAGAAATTGCAACAAAGTCAGTTGAAAATTTATAACACTGAGGGGCCTCGCCAACTTCTGCCAGTTCAGTCTTTGAGAAAATAATTCTTCCCCAAGCAAACACTCCTTTGCAATAGAAAATAAAAAAACAGAAAATGGCACCCTCCTTATATATTGTATATATTTTTTTGTACATTTATATATAGATTGATTTATTCAAATAGATTCTTTTCCAGTTTCCGTGCCTTCCTGTTGATTGGGTAGGATTTTAACCGCGTCAAAATGACCACGACAGAGAACAATGCTGTCGGATAGCGAATTGTGTTGTTTTTTTGTTTTTGTTTTTGTTTTGTTTTTTACATTTTCTATAATAGACATGTAAACCAGAACAGACAAAGAAAAAGTAATAAGAGAAAAGATTCTTCTTAAAAAAGAGAGAGAGAGAGAGAGAGAGAAAAAAAAGAAAATCTGCTTTACAACATACGACCACACACTTTGTACTGAAGACTACATTGGCTTACGGACAAGCCGATCAAATATTGATAAAAAGCTGATAAGCTATAATACAAGAAGAGACGCGTTGTTCACCATGGAAACAGGGCTGGGGCTTGGAACAGGAAAGGTTCAGGTTTATGGAGTACTTGGGGGGACGGAAAGGACTGGGACGGGGCTTGTCTTGCTAAATCAAGCGTCTGTCTCATTGGCTCGAAGCCAGAACACGCTGTCTACTTACATATAAGCGTACAGTACATTAAATACAGTTTAGTTTTTTTTTATCCAAAAAATACTTTTTTTTCCTTTTTAGCTTTTTTTAAATTCCCAGGTCTGGTAAAAAACCTGACTGCATAGAACCTAACGACTAAGAACAGGTTTCCCTAAGCTTGCATCCTATTAAAAGACCAGGTAAATGTCCTCCTCTGGCAACTCGAATGATATGAACTCTAAAAAGGCACATTGGTAGAATTGTGAATGTTCAAATTGCATCGGTGGGAACGCTTAGGTGGGGCAAGAGGCTGGGGAGAGGGGCTAGGGCTGTGGTTTAGGGCTCATAAGGCTAGGGTCAGCAGAGAAGACAACATTGGGACTGGGGATTAAACACTGGCTATAGGATTGAGGAGGGTTCCAACTGGGGCGACCGTGAAAGGGGACTTTCAGATGGACACCAGAACACAGTGGACGTTCTTGCAGATATTTCGGTTATCTTCGTCTGTTGTTGGAAAGTAGACCTTGAAGCATAACAATGCAATAATTTATTATCCTGACCTACCTGTCCTAAATTATTTATTCCTGTTCTCACTTTTGTCAATGCCACCCATCATTTTCTTTCTCAATCCTGTATCACTCCCAAGTCAATGTTCACTTCTACTACCCAGGAAACTTAGATAAGTCTAGGTACAAGAGGCAGAACTTTCAAATTCAGAAGCGATATAAAATATTAGTGGTGATTTCTGGATTGGACCTCCTTCAGATGTAGACTATTGATCTGAATGTACATGTATACTGAGCAAACCAAGGTAATCAAAATGTCTGGGCCCTTTGTCGGGCGTCTCTGGTCACTGGACTCATACCAGACCCATGACAAATGACACACAAGAATACACACTTATTTTATCCTTGGAAGGCAACACAAGCCCAAACCATCTGCTAACTGTAGCTGATGATAAGGCCAAATGAGACAAAGTCTGAAACCATAAAACCTAGCCTAATCGAGCAGTCTGTCCAGAGTCTGCCCATATTTGGTCCTCTGGCACAGGGACAGCTGTAGGCCTCTGTGTTCGAAATGTTGCCCAACATCACTGTGACACCAACAAGCAAAGAGCTGCAAGGCCAATGAAATTTCAAACAGTTAATGGTCCCAGCAACAGACACTTCAACGAATGAACGATTCTGTGATACGGCCAGGAAGCAAATGTCAATCAGAAAGTCCCCCAAGGTTGGTACTCTGGGCAAGAAAGTCTGAGGTTGGGGTTGAAGGTTTAGGGGTATGATCGGCCAGATATTAAACCAGGAAATGTAGGAATCTAATGAATCCAACACAGGAATGCTTTGACTTCTGCTGCTTGGCCCCTAGAAGAAAATGATACACCCCTCACCCCAATGATTGTTCCCTTGCTTCCTCTGCAGCGTCATCATCATTTAGACCTCCGGCTTCGATTTTTCATCCTCTCGATCTGTCTTTAGCCTCAAGATGTTGGCCTACTTCAATTCTGCTTGTCTCTCTACCCTTCCATGACTCCCAAAGCTCTCATAGTTCAGGCCTTCAGGGATTCTGGAGCACTCGATTCAAGTGGCGTGATCGCGATTCAGGGAATGTGCTAAACTTGGAATAGTCTTCACTTCAGTGCTCAGTCCAGCTCTCTTTCCCCCTCATTCACTATCTGTCTATCTATCTATCTATCTAGTCTACTCTATGCTATCTATCTATCTATCTATCTATCATTTTTATCATCTGCTATCCTCTCAACTATCTGCCCAGTAATCCCAGTAATTTCTGACGAAGGTCTCTGATTCGAGATGTTTGCTAGAGCTCTTCCTTTCTGTTGTCATTTTTGCATCTGCACTACAACCCCCCAACAATAATTTCAAATGAAGATGTCCTTCTTGCCACATGTAGAAGTACACTTTTTCATTACAGCATGATTCTTCCTTCCTGTCTTCTGTAATTGCTCTACCTTCAATAGTTTAAACACCCCAGTCCCTCTGAAGTCACTCACTAATTGATTGATTAATTGACTCAATGATTGATTTTCTAGGTATTTTCTTCCTCTCAGATACACATGGGTCATTTGGGTACAACTGTCCAGTTCGTACAATTTTGCCCTTTGTTAACAAAGTCAACATGGCTGTAAGCATAAAACACTAATAAAATACATGAACATGTTCAGATTTCTTTTATATTGACAATCTATTGTAAATATTTGCAGTTTACGAAGGAATGCATTAGAAGGGGAAGAACAAGTGGCCCCCGTTTTTCTCGTTCAGCCCTGCTTCTTTCTAGGCATCTATGATAGTCAAAAAGCGCTTGCAAACTTAATTGTTGTTCAGATCATTCGGCAAATCAAGTGCCTCCAAAAAGCAGTAGGGTTGTAACAGGTTCCTAATATCTTTCATTTATAATTTAATCGGTGAAATGTGTGGTTTGTATGGGAATGTACTGTATGAGTGGGCAGCTTGCTTCCATAATACTTCCAGGAACTTTCCTGTTCTTTTTTTTAAGTTTTGTTTGCTTCTCCACATGTATCTATCTGACTGGTTTGCATCCAAGAGGAGATCAGGCACAGCTTCATCCACAGTGTGGCGTTAGATTGCCATTCAGTCAGAGACGCGCTGAAGCTGCATTCAACAACAGCTGCGCAATGTTGCTTAAAAAAAAATCTCTTTAACACTTTGTGATATGTTTTGCTCCGTTCTGAACAACCCTTCCAAACCTGTACCCTCCTCATTGCCCGCGTCCAGTTGCACTTTTTTTAACAAGTTTTTTGTCATGTTTTCCTTTTCTCATATATATATATACTATATATAGAACCCTTTTGTTCTTTAAAACTGGGAATGCTGATAAAACAAGTAGTACAAGAAGAAGATTTTCTTGGATGATGTGATTCCAAAGACTTTTGTCCATTGCTGTCACTTTGTGTCAAAAGCTCCCACAAACTGCCACTCTGTAGCAGCCATGTTACAGTGGCTGTTTAATGTCTCCACAAAGTAGCATCCAGTTCACTTCAGCTGGAGATGCAAAGTGACTCTGCAGTTTGTGTTCTCGACAGAAGAAGGAGACAAAGGTGAAGAGGAGGATCGGAGACGGACAGACGAGAGGAGAGAAAGAGGCTGATCTGATTGGTCAGGCCCAAGTTCCGGAGAATCTGATTGGTCGGGCTGAAGCAACAACGGGTTTTGATCGATTGCCGGGTTGTCATGGAAACGCCGTCAGAGGAAGTGGTCACTCATCATCTTGATGAACTCTGGCACCTTAGACCTGGAGAGGCAAAGAGGAAAAATGAAGGAAGGGAAGGAAAGTTGCACATCACATTGCACACACAAGCACGCACGCAGAAATAAATGAATTTATTTTAAAGCCCTAATAGTGGCCCCAAGTGGTAGTAGTATTTATTTCACACCACGACAATAGTAAGGTAAAAAGTCATTCATGTAATATGGAGTGCCAAAAATAGAAAAAGTTCATGTTCTGGGAGCATCAATGTGTGCAATAAAATCCATGGCAACCAGGGCTAAATCTGATCAGGAAATTTGGTATTTCTTTTTATTAAAGTACATTTTGGACTGTTGGTTGCACCAAAGGAAAGATCTGGGCTCGTCAAACCATTAGTTTTCATCCTCTGGTAGCCATGAATAGTAAACTAATTGTATGACATTCTGGCTAGTAGTAGTTAACATAATGACATCCCATTGCACTATAGTACAACACTACATCACCAGCTGTGATGTTGGGTGTAGTCAGAGCTGTGGAGTTATTCTTTATAGGAATGCACAGTTTTAGGAACCAAAGTGACTTTGGACCCAGATGTAGCTATCATGGATTTAGATTTACTATATAACACCCCATGACATTTTGTGTTTTTGGTCCTAATGTGCAGGGCAACTTTAATGACCTGAAACCTGCACCAACCCCCAGTATAGATATAATGAAGAAAAGACATTACTTCAGTTTTTCACTGTAAAGCTTTTGCAGATAAGAAACTCTGTGTGGTTTGGCCTGAGGTTACTCCTGGTCCTTATCAAAGACCTTTGGTACCTCAAGGCTACAGAACATCAGAAAATAAGCTCAGTTACAAGTTTCAATCTGCTCCATGATTTAACATGCAAACACAAATACTATATGAATGTTTTGAGAATGAGAAAACAAAGGTTGTAGAGCAAAGAACAGAAACAGTACATATTCAGTAAAAAGCAGCAGCGACAAACACACACAGACACACATTAAAATCACACTTACTGCCAATCTGTTGTTAAAATGTACCCAGGCCAGACAGAAACTCAAGTTCTGGCCTCTGTTTTTAGCCAGCCAAAATATCATCAGCTCTGCCAGACTTTAACTGGAACTGAACGACGCACTTCTACAAATTCATTCAAATAATGGAAGAAATAAATGGCATTTGTCTTACATGTTGTCTGTGTAGGTTTTAACCTTTTCTCTGATTATTTAGTATAAAGTCATAAGACAAAAAAAAACCTCATTTATCATCATGATGATCGGTTAAACTTGCAGTGCGGAACTTTTATCTTCCCCTTCTGGCAGAGTTATTACACACACTGTCAACGCGTGCGTATGACGTATGCCTCTGCTGTATTCCTAGTTGCAGTAGCCTACTCCGTTTAACAAACCAATGCTACTTTACATAAAAACGCATCACTACTGGACCGCCACGTTGTAGGGCAAAAAAGTTATTTTAGCTACAAAAATTACAGTAACACTTAAAAGTTTTTTAAGTTTAAAAAGATTCTTTTTGCATTTACATTCCCAATTAAGTACTTTTTGCTAGGTATTTTGTTTTCACAGTACAAATAAAAATTACCAAATTAAGTCAGTGTCACTTTAAAAAAACATTCTTGACCAAGTAGCTTTAGTAATTTTAACTTAAAAAAATTTAGTTAGTTTTACTTAAAATTTACAATGTTAACAGTTTCAACTATTTTTTAAATATATAATGAACTTATCTGGTTTTACAGTGCAGTGTGGGAATGTTGCCACAGACACCAGATTTAAAAACTCTGTATACTGCGAAATACAGCAGTGATAGGCTTAATCAGCACTGTGTGAACTCGTTCGGTGGGGGCTTGAATATAACAGACGTTTATTTATATGTAGTCACACACTCAAACATTCAAGGCTAATTTAAAGCTCAGAATGTTTACCAATGAGCATGTCTATTTACAACTTATTTATTTACTTAAATTTAACCTGAGCCTACAACTGAATTTCCTTTACCAATAAAATTCCAAAATGATAGATAAAAAACCCCCCAAAACTGATTAAATCATCTGACTTTCTGGATGCAATGGTTAAATACAGACGCTACTTTTTATTTTTATATTTGGGTTAATCTTTATCCAGGGAAGTTTTATTACCTTTTGTGGGTTTTTTT